CGGGCAGGGCCAGGCACGGTCGGAGCCGGCCCGTCCGCTCCTGGCTCTTTGCGGCCCGCGGGGCTCACTGCTTCTCCCCGGCGGCTCTTCCTCCGCCTGCCTGTGGCCTCCACGCGGGGCCGGGGCCGGCAAAAACTAGTTGAGGGCGTTACCGTGGGCCTTTTGGTCAAGCGAAAGGATTTTGTGCAGTTCGAAAGCTTGGGAAGCTGTTTTAAAGGCTGTGAGAACCTTGAGTCTCGCAATGGGTATATTCTCGCCTAAGTTCTGTCAATTCTTCCTGCTCCCAGGTGTTCAAACGCTTCGTCGAGATTGGCAGAGTTGCCTTCATTTCCTTCGGGCCGCATGCTGGCAAGCTGGTGGCCATTGTGGATGTTATTGACCAAAATAGGGTAAGCTATGAGTACTGTACCTTTATTTTCTCCTTTCTGCCTTAACAGAAGCTTGTACGCTCAGAGTGTATCGATTTTGAAGGAATTTTCTGTGAATAGATTTTTCAAAGAAATAAGCAATTGACAAAAAGGTGGGATTTAACAGCTGTTGTTGCATTTGAAACTTTCAGTAGCAAGCTTTTTTCACTGGCAAGTGATATATTCCCCTCTCTGCTATGTTTCCTAGGAGTAGAAGTGGACAAGTGATGTCAGTTGGAGTCTAAAACTTATGAATGGAATGGCATTAATGTATGTTTAAAGCAAATGTTTGGGCTAGGGGACTCTTTTCGCTTAACGTTCCTGAAAAAGATGGAAAACAAAGAAAGTTGAAGTATGTCATCTTAGTTCTGTGTGCTTTTTTTAAAGTTCAGTTTGTTTTTTTTCCAAAGACAAAGATGGGTCTTTAACATTCTTTCTGTAAAGCTTGGGTTGTATATGCAAGACTTAACAATCTCAGGTTTTGTCTGCATAACATTTATTTCAATTTTGGACTATTGTTGTCGAGATACTGTTCATACAGGAAGCTGCTGTCTAAATCAAGTATGATGGAAAAACGGCTACAAAACCCCCACATTTGTTTTCCTTTTTCAGGCGCTGGTTGATGGCCCCTGCAGTGGTGTCAGAAGGCAGGCTATGCCCTTCAAGTGCATGCAGCTGACTGACTTTGTTCTCAAGTTCCCACACAGGTGAGTTGTTGGCATTTTTTGACCTGTGTGAAAAAACATGCTGTCACTTGATGACTGAATTATGTGATCTGATGCTTGCTAAATCTAGGAAGTTCATACAGCGTTAAGTCACTGGATTAACGTGTGCACAGTAAAAATTTGGCAGACCATGTTATCATAATTGAATACATTTAAGTTTTCGTTACCAATATTGGCTGATAACCGCTGCTCAGGAGCAAAGGAAATGGCACACTGGGCTAGGCAACTTGCAGGTAGTTGTGGGGTGGATGGTGTGGGGGGAAGCAGTTGCAGTAAATACTGTGCAGCTTTGCTTTTGCTATTGCTTAGGTCACCTTCAGACATTAAATAAGTTCCCTGCCTACAGAACTACATGAAACTGAAGGAGGCTGAACTCATTCTGTTCTCTTTAGCTTAGTTACTATATGAGTTTCTGTAATTTAGAAACAAAAAATTGCTGCATTTCTGATTCTGAAGCAGTCCTAGGAATAGTGTGTGAGTATGCCTCTTGGAGTCCCTCATCTATCAGTGTTAGCAAAGCATTTACATAACAAAATGTTAATTAGCCCACAGAGATGTGTGTGGCATTGACTTCAAGTAAATGTCTGAAGTAATGTAGAAGGGTGATCTTCCCTTGTATGAAATTTGATGGGCCAGCATCAGAGAGAACCTTTTTTTATAAAGACTGTGGATATAATTTTATGACTGTTCTAATGCAGTGCTCGTCAGAAGTGTGTGCGACTGGCCTGGGAGAAGGAAAATATAAATGAAAAATGGGCAGCGACAAGATGGGCAAAGAAGATTGAAGCCCGAGAAAAGGTACAGTTTTTCACTGATGGGTAATAAATGTTGTATTGCTTCTGCTTACTAAAATTAGGTGCAATCTAATAAAGTACGTGTTTTCAATTGCAGGCTAAGAGTAAAGATAGACAAGGCATAGATTTTTAAAAGTTGCTACCAATCAGCTTCAGCTTCTTGTATTTTAACAGTAAACGTGGTTTTGTTCAGTCATTTCTGTAACCACCGCTTTTCCTGCACCATCACTTCACAGCAAAAGCCTAAATAGTGAACTAGTTCCAGATGTGCAGCTAAATCTAATTTGGAGATGATCAGAGTTACTTGTGGAATGCTTTGAAACAGAGTTTTACTACTTGCATATGTATATATCAGAGCTTCATGACTGATTCTTTTCAAACAGAAAGCCAAAATGACTGACTTTGATCGCTACAAGGTTATGAAAGCAAAGAAAATGGTAAGTGTTTGAGTGTCGCTTCTTTATGGGGTTAATGCTTGTAGCTTTCACTTTAGAGCCACATACAGATGTTAGTAGCCCTACTTTTATAGCTGGCTTGGGTTATGGAGTGACACAAAGGATGTGTGAATGCCTTGAATTTTTCATGCTTCTTTAGCCACCACTTTCTCTTCAGTAGTTGATTAAACTTGAACCCACATGATCTGTGTGTCAGTCCTCCAAGTTATAGCTGAGGAAGGAATTACCTGCTGGTGAAATCAGATATTCTTGGTGGGTTACTGTTAGTATTTCAGTCTGTAATGAATGTCATTACACATGAAATACTGGGGTGCCCAAGTTACCAGCCAGAATGATGTTGTCCACTTGGTAGATCAGAACAGTTTTAGGTGGAATTTGACATTTTAAAGGTAATACATGGTAAATCTTTTGACTATATAATATAAATATAATTGGTTAGGAAAGGGCAGAATCTGAAAGCTTAGTATTTAAATTAAGGCATAATATTTGAGCTGTTGCTGTTTTCATTCTAATTAATAGTAAACATTTACCTTTTTTACAGAGAAATCGGATCATCAAGCACGAAATGAAGAAGCTCCAGAAGATGTCTTCTAAAAAAGGCAAGAAGCCAGAGAAGTCAGAGAAGGCGCAGAAGTCAGAGAAGGTGCAGAAGGCACCGAAGGCGCAGAAATAAAATGAACTTCTAGTTATGTATGACTTTGTGTCCTTGTTCTGATTCTTTAAAATTAACAAATGGTTAAACATCTGATTTAAATTGTAATCTAAGTTCACTTTTGCTTCTGACCAAGAATTGTTGTCTGTCTCATTTATTAACGTCCAAGTGTTGGGGTTCTGGTGTTTCCCAGGAACATGCAGAAATGTTTTTGTCGCGTTCCGTGAAGTCAACCATACAGACTATGCTCAGTACTCTATACCTGATGCCAGTTGAAATATTTGCATACCCAGTTATTTGAAGTAGGTGTCTGCTATTGAAATGGTTGGGAATGAACAAAATTACTTGCATAGTCTTGAGTGTGAAAGATGAGAAATAATCACTTACACTAATTTTTCTGTATAAATTAAGGCATAACCTGGAAGTATGTGTTCTGGTTAGAATACAAGTATGTCAGTATTTGAAAGACTGACAAATTGCTGTTCGAACACTTCAAATTACTCTATTTTCTAAAAAACTTCCACTGTTCTTTAAGTAGTGACCTGGAATACTTACTTACTTCAGAAGTCTAACACCATAGTTGTCCTGTAAGCGCAGTTACAACAACTGGTGACATATTAACAGGATGGAAATTGGTGACTCGTGTTTAAGCATGCTTGCTTTTCAGAATGTTTCAACTTAAGAGTTATGTCAAGACCTGAGCCTAATTACAGTTCCTTAAACTATGTGGCATATAATTCCCACTTTTTAGTCAAAACCACTAAGTAAGAGGCATGACCTAAAAATTACTCAAGCCATCTGAAACACTGAAGTGCTCAATTTAGTCTTTGCACTATAAAATAACGTTTATGTATCTCAAATGTCAACATCCATCTTTTCCTGTGTTTTCTCCTGTGTAGTTTGTTGGCAGGGGATATATTTTCTTCATATTGAATGAAGAAATTGTGGAAGTCTGAGATCTCTGGTAATTGAAAAGCAAATTATTTTTACAGTCAAATATAAAATGGAGGAGGGAGAATATATATTTTAAAAAATGAAGGTTGTAGGACCTTTAAATATATTGTCAAATATATACTCAAATATATATTGTCAAATACACTGATAAGCATGTGTTTTCACAAATGTGTGCTTTTAAGTAGTTAATGGCTAGTGTTGCTTATTTCAGCCAGAATTAGGCATCTGCATGCTCAAACACTTAAAACTATACAATGTTGTCTTGAGCTATTTATATGCCCTTGGAAACTGAGCACATGGTTGATACGAATGGGTATAACAGCTAAGGGAAAAAAACCCAGAAATGATGCAAACTGGGATTAAAACCCATGTTCAAGCATCTGGAGATCTTGATTTTAAATTGGATTTTAAAGTGATTAAATCCACCTGCTCTAAAACTCCTAACTTGAAAGTAGCTTGAAAGGTGTATCAACCTGGAAGTCCTTTAAGGTGAAAGAGTTACTCCTTGGGGTTGTTTTGAGTTTTTTATGTACTACTGTTAAACTCAGTTAAGTAAGACTGGGGAAAAATTGCTAAAAGTGCCTGTAGAGAAAATAGATGTGCCTTCAATCATAATGAGCTCACAAATGCTTTTTTTACATTATTTGCTCGTTTTTAAAGGTACTTGCTTCCAAATAATAACTTTGCCTATGGCTGCAGCAATTTATCAAGTGTTTTCACTCCTACCAGTACCACTCGGCAGCTACTGAGGTATCTGAAAAATTTCCATGGTACGAAGTGTACCGTAACCTGCCAAGCTGCCTAGCAGCTGTCATTTTCCTGAAGAGGAACCTTGTAAGGGTACAAAACGTGCCCAGGGGGAGGGCTGCCTACCTGTGGGGCGGTTGTGTCTGCCCGAGCTCTGCACCATGGAAAGGGGTGTGCTGGGGGAGCGGGCACTAAAGATTAAGGCGCTGTTAGGGAGAGAGAGGGTTACATGCCTTAGAAGAAAACTTGGTTCTGTAATACCATGTCTGCCATCAAGTGCTTCTGTGAAAGTACCATTTTTTTTACAGTTCAGAGGAAAGGGGAGAAGAAAAATAGTGGAATATACCGGTCTTTGGTACCTGCGCTGTGTCTTTCTGAAGAGCGTGTTCCATGTGAGAGCGTCTGGTGCTCCTTTTAGCAACTCGTGAAACCTCTCTGAAACCTGCAGCTCTGTATCGTTGGTAGTCCACCTTCCTTTCAATCCACGAATGTTGTGCCATCTGTGTTGGTTTGTCCGTTTTTTTAAAGCTACGGGGATACAGAAAAGTATACTGCAGGATACTGCAGAAGTACACTTTTGTTTCTGAAGGTTACCACACGGTGGCAACATTAGCTCTTTACAAGGTTGTTCCTAAGGCTTACCCAAACCAGGCAACCGTGCTGCCTTTCCGTGCGAGGAACAGTGCCAAACAAAGGGGATGGCACAAACATTTGAGAGCAATGGATGTGCTTATCCAATTCTTTATTTTGCCTTTATGGTTGACTAAAATGTACTTTGCTGGACGAAGGATATACTTCTTTAATTTACTTTGTGGAGCTGAGTGTAAAGAAGTAGGACCTACTGTTTAGAAAAAGCCTAAAGTGAAGTCCCAGTATTTATTTTCTCAGCTTATGTCAAGCAGAAGATGTAGGGGGCTTGCTGGGGGCAGAGGGGGGAATGTACCCTATCCCAGCTTACTCTTGAGATCAGCAGATAGTTGCTGTATTTCTAAACCGATACCAATGGTTGGCAAACCCAGTCCTAATCTCTGTGCTGCAAAGTCTGGGGGACATGAGCAATTCTAGGAGTGGGATTGGACCCCTTAGCGTAAGCCGTAGTTAAAAGGTGTAAAATCTGATGTTACTGTGAAACAGCTGCTGTTCTGGACTGAGTGATTTGCTGGTGATGCATATTTCTTCTTCTTCTTCAAAAAAGGTTGTATTTAAGTGCTTTTGGTTCTTGCCTAAACATGTCTGTTGCTGTGTTTGGTATCTGAACGTGTTTCAATTTTTTTTTGAGATGTAATAGACCTGAAAGAGGAATCTCTGGATTTACTGATCTTCCTGGTTTTCAAATACTAGTATTCAGACTGTCCTTCAGTCGAGGTTTGCTTGGTGACCATGACATTTTCAAATCATTTGGTCTTGTAGTTACCTATATGTTAATAGTAGATAATATTTTCTGTTCTGAACTACTTCTGTGCCACTGATGCTGACCGTGGACTTGTGGCAAATCTGGTCCAGTTTATAGCTGGATTTCCTCTATTTATTTTGTCTTACTTCACTTGTAGTGCCCCTTAGATGTTTCCAGCCCTGTATGTTTCTCTCCTTTCCCTCTGCCCACGTTGATAAGGTGTCTCTGAAAACTCCACGTGCCTGCCTTTCATCGAGATTAAAAGGTGCCAATTTCTATTCGCAGCATTATTGGTATATGACTAAGTACAGCTTACAAGCAAGAACTAGTAAGAGGAGCTAATTACGGAGATGGCTGTGTGGTCTGGGCTTTACTCATTTCAGGTCTTCAGCTTTTGGTTCTTCCTTTGTATAATTTCTGTTTTGTTTTGTTTTTTTAATTTGGAAATAGTTTTTAATGTTGTTTTGAGCTTGAAGTTGCATATATTGTTGTCGCACTCAGGTACTTTTGAGTTTATACTGGGATTTCCTTCTCTGAAGCAGAAAGATCTGCTTTTACCTGTTTAAGCACTGCATCCGTAGTTGTGCTGAAGTACTGCAGTCCTTGTCCCTGCCTTGACACAGGCAGTCGCCCTGTGGATACTGGTGATGTACCCACATCCTCTCTTTTTCCCTGAACTGGTAACAGGCTTCATTCTTGGATGCTGTGCAACCTCCAGTTCACAGTATCCTTAATTGGGAATTTGGCCCAACCTTCACTGTATGCAGCTGACCACAGTGTCATATTCTTGTTTTAAATAAATGAAGAGTGGGTCATTTTTTCCCCACCTCACTTTCAGCGATCATAAGCCAGTCTGAGCGATCTCCAAGTAAGTCTTTGTAGCAAACTCTCCCTCCTCCCCCAAAAGCTTTCAGACCACTATATGCATCCGAATTAGAGAAGTCTTCCAGCTGCAGTCAGCTATTCGTGCTGATCACCAGCCTAGAAATTACACCATTGCCACCGGCACGGAGCCACTTCCTCCTTCATAAGATGCATTGACCTAGTTCTTATTACAGAGGAAGTACTTTTTAACATTTCCCCAGTGGCCTCCGGTATGAGGGTATTTTTCAGGATATTTTGTTCTGCAACTGTTTGGGAGAATTGTTCCTTGCATATTGTGAGGAGAGGCCCTGACCTGCTCATCATGGCCCTCAGCAGAGCTGAGCTCTTCCCTTGCATCTCCTTTAGGTTGCTTGTGGAGCGTGGGTGGTGTTTCGGGGCACTGTACTGCTGATAAAGGTTTATATGGCAGATTCTCATCAGGAAGCTCTGCTTTGATGAAAATGATAGATGCTCTGAAAAAGTAATAGTGTTCATATTTAAGTAGCATTAAAGAATATTATCTTTGAGATCAGCTGGAACTTTACCTAAGGACACCCAGTGGGAGGGCACAACTTCTGAATATTTTTCACAATAACTCAACAGCCGAGACTTTTTAGCGCCACTGTTTGAACCTCATATTTACAAAAGCCATTAAACAAAAGAAGGGGCCATTGCTAGCTGTGTTGTTGCAGTCAGATGCTGCATAGAATCATAGAATCATAGAATC